GTGCGACCTAGGGTGGCTAATGTAGGTATTCGAACTTGCAAATGAAGCCCGGGATTTAAATATCCCGGTCTTCATTTGCATGTTCCCGGGCACCACCATTTTTAAATCCCCCTTAGTCCGACCTCCGTGCCCGCGGCTACATGAGGCATGGAGTAGTAGTTCAAATTAGGATCTCTAATTCGAACTATCTACTCTGCGCTGCGTGTAGCCACGGGCGCTGAGTTCGGACTAAGGGGGATTTAAAAATGGCGGCACCCGGGAACATGCAAATGAAGCCCGGGATATTTAAATCCCGGGCTTTATTTGCAACTGCAGTTGCCCTCATTTGCCTGCCTACCTCAAACTAACGAGCCAGTGTAGACATACCCTGAGAGACACTGGATGACTTTGACCTGTGTATGTACATTGCCCATGGATTGCAGTAGGGAGGGAGGCATGGATGATGGGGTCTCATACTTTGATTATAGATGGGCTCAAAGGAACTGGGAAGAATCCTTGTATTGTGACAATGGACCATGACTTCCTGCTGGCTACTGTCAGACTTGCCGTTGGGTAGGGGCGGCACCAACAGGGGTATTGGCAGTATATGGCCCTGTACCAAGAGCGATTTCAGGTGCCTGGATTTACTCGGTCCTGGGGTCCTGGGGCTGCATAATGGGGATTGCAGTTCTTCCCCACACATCAGGTCTCCAGGGTACCAAAGTTCATGTAGAACCCTGGGCTCACTCAGTACCATGGACAAATATCCATGGTACTTTATCGGTACCAATGATTAAGATGGCACAGAGTCCTCCCTTGGTGAAAGTCTTCTTGTGAAACCAGGTACTGAAAGTTGTTAGTGCCACACTTTTAGAGATGGTACAGTAACTCGCTTTCCCTGGGTACCCAGGCCACAGGTGTCCAGGATATATAAATTTTTCTTTTAGAGGTGGTACAGTAATTGTGTTACTTTAACATTGCCTGGAAACCTGACTACCCCTGGCTTATCAAGTGATATGCAGTTTGTGCCAGAGTAGAGCTCGGAGGGGGAAGAGGCCCTTCTAGGTACCTTGCTTCTGAGCTGTCTGTGCCATGGTAAGCTTGTTTTTCTGTCCACACAGAGGTGGCAGCTCTGGGGACTCCCGTTTGGCTGCCAATCACTCGGTGCCAAGGTGGCATCTATGGGGACCCCACTCAGGCTATCAGTCACTTGGCGTTGGTTTTCCTGTCAGTGCCAAGGTGGCACCCCAAAGGACTCTCCCCCACCCACACACACACCTGCTAGCTTCTGATGACTCAGAACTTGCAGGAGGAGTCTACTGTGGATTTTTAAGGACTTTACCCTTGTTGAAGATAAAGGCTCTGGGGATCCGTCAGGAGTCCCCTAGAGACTAAAGTGCCTTCTCTCTACAGAGGGAGTTGTAAACTTCAGCTACCAGGTCCTGTGGTAGTTGAAGCACTTTTGTGAGGCTGTCCCAGGCATTAGACATAGTGACAGTGTCTGCCTGTTACAGAAACTGCTTACAGGAGAGCCACCTCTCAGAGCTGGCAGAGCTAAGAATGCCCCCAGGTGGGGGTTGGAGACAGATCAATCTCTAGCAATAAGGAACGCAGAAGCAAGCAAGTCATCTTTATTCCGCCACTTTTTTTTGTTTCTTTTATTTTACCAGAGGGAGTAAAATGCGGGGGGTGGGGGAGGGGAAGAGTGGGGGGAGAAGGAAGATGCCCCTAGATAGGATAAAAAACAAAGGTTTTGTTCTTCTTTTTAATCCCAAGGAAATTTAAAAAATGAAACACTATTAGGGAAAACAAAAGAAATAAAAACAGCTACTAATTATGCTAATTATACAGATAAGGAAAGGACACTTGCTCTTTCTATGTGAGGTCAAAGGCAGTTGAGAAGGAAGTACTAGGCTTTTGCCCATTCAGTATTAGATAGCCTTGAGGCACATCAACAAGGGAGGGAGCACAAGTGACAGCTCAGAAAGGCACTGCAACCAAAACTCTCCAATTAAAGATGCTGGGGTACACATACATCTACAGTAGAGTACCCATAAAGACGTTACTCAAAGAAGGAGGGAAAGTTTTCTTTGATAGTATTCTCTGGTAGGGTAGCGAGGACCTTCAAATATATCATAATTAGTGAATACAGGAGCATTTTTTCAAGGAAAGATACTAAGCTTATGTTTTACATTCCACCGGATAGATGAGTTACTTAATAATGGTTTCTAACCTAATTCCTTTCTCACCTATAGATAAGGCCTGTGACCATGAGGTAGTGATAGATATGGAACCAAAGAGGGGCTGAAACAAAGAGGTGATAGTAGGTGAGAAAAAATGTTTAAATACTGGGGATTGAGCTAGCCATCCTGATGATTACAAAACACACTGCAGCCCAGAATGATGCCTCATTCAAAAGAAAGAGTCATAACCAGCAAAGGATTGTTTCCTGTCACAGGATATCCCTTTTCCTTCTGTGGGATGTTTAAAGATTCAACAGGTTGGTATGGGAGTTTTATTACTGGTGTGTTATTTTTTCTTTATAAAAACAATTGTTTTTTTTTCACTTTATCCACTTAAAAATATCCAGAAATGCAAAATGTAGTCTCCTCTGGTTTTACTGATGGACATCTTGGAGAACTCAGAGTTGTTTTTTCTGAGCTCTTTTTAGCTCAGCATTAGAGGTGGGCATGTTGAATCTTTGTCAATAACATTTTTTGTCTTAAATACTCATGAAGCACTGAAATTAAATACCTGTTAACAAAACAAATAGACTTTTAAAAACATGGCTAACATTCCCTTCCTTTCTCAAATGTTCAGCTTTTCATGACTCTGATGTTTTCACTATTTCACTATAAAGTCTTCCAAATAACATAAGACCTGAATTCTGAGTTATAAAGAAAGCAGAACAAAATAAAACTCTTTTTCTTTTCTTTTTAACATTCAGGTTTTTCTTTATACATCATAAAGAAACAAAAAAGGAAAGGAGCTCATTGTTTTTCCCCTTTACAAGTCACTTTTGTAGTTAATCATGCATTAAGAAAAGCTAGCTTGCAGCACCCTGATGTTTGTTAGAAGAATGTGTATTGAGTGCCGATTTATTTTTTTACCAGGAGAACAGCAACATTAAATTAATCATAGGAAATTATAAATATAAGAAGCTTGTTGCTGAACCTAGAAGAGTGCATTGATAAATTCATACCTGAAACTACACCAATTCCATCATCACAGTCATAGTCAGAAACTTCGCTATCACTGATTCTTTTGGACCCTGCAGAAAAAGAATGATCACAAATGTATCAGTGTTATTATTCTAAGTCAGCTCTACTCTGGCAAAAGTAATACAATGAAATAAATTTCAGACTACACTATAAATACAAGGAGAATCAATACAGAATCTTTGGAACAGAAATATATGTACATTATTTTAATGTGTATTAGTTGGCGGCACATTAGCTATTTTCCTCTAAATCTATAAAGTAATAACTCAAAACTGAAATAGCAAAATCCAACTGGAAAATATTGAAGTTGTGCTATGTTATCATATTTTTGTACTTGTTTGAAATATAGCTAAACTTGTATACAAACACTTGAAGGATGAATTATAGCTATTATATTAAATGAATACTATGTTTTCTAAAAGGTAATGATAATCATTACTAGAGCTTAGCAGCTTCATTGCATAGTTTGCATCCTGCAAGACAAATGATAGCTGTGAAAATTCAGAGGAAAAGAGGTATTTTAATGCTACCACAGCAAGCACAATACTTGTTAATATAGCTAGAGCTTAGTTGGCAAAAGCAGATTCTAAGTCCATAATTAGACCTGAAATGTAAATCATGTATGACAAATAAATGTGTTAGCTTTTGTTTGGCTCAACTTTACTTACACATACTTATCTTTTTCTTCTTTGTCATCTTCTAAATACAGGAGAGATGCATGTTCTGACCAACCGGTTCTATTGCTGACATTGGAATGTTAAAATCTGTATACTAACATGTGGGTGATACCCATTCATAAAAGAGAATGTTCTTTTGAAATGAGAAGGAAAGCTGTACTTTTGAGCATTCTGTAGTAATACATATTAGCAAATGATTACATGGTCACAACTGTGTATCAGATCAGGCTGTTTGTAGACACCCAATAGGTACTAGCTCAGAAACTTAGACTACTTGCTATCAGTCCTTGACACGTACACTAGGTTTTTGATGGGAAGGAAAGGGATGGTTAATCCTCCTGGAAGATGTGGATAAAGTAGTAGCTTTGAGGGGTAAAATCAAAACACGGATACTAAGAAAAATAACTTCTCAAGGCAATGGAGTTTATTCATATATCTCTTACGTGGCTTCTAGCCCTTTTTTCCACAAGAGTGGATAACCCTACTGTAATAGAACCAGAGTATGTAGCTGGATTGGGAATCTCATGAAAAAGGATTTACCCCCCTTTGCATAATGCATGCCATTTTACAGTGGGGAATTTTGGATGAAGGGTGTGAACTGATCACTATATTTGATTGATGCTCATTCCCCTTCATCTCAAAGCCCACAATCTACAATTCAGTACTTCACTGCTCAAATAAAGCTTTTAGCTTGGAAATACTTGTAAATGTAAATTTCACTTTTAAGTGTTATAAAAGGTTAACTTGTTTTATTACCAAATTAATTTTGTAATTGCATTAGAAATATGTGAATTGTCATTTTTAATATATAATATAATATAATATAAT